CCCCCCCCCCCCCCAACGAGATGAAGCAGAGGTGAAGATAAATGAAAGACAGAAAGTGGCATTAGAGCAATCAACACTTTTGTCCGTCGTAGTAGTTTTGCGATTTTCTATTAAAACAACATAAGAGAAATTCTACTCCAGTAAGTTTTCGCTAGATGAAGAAAGTTGTTGACATAAAATGGTCTGATAGTTTCCAACCAAAGTAACAAATCGTACCTCGTTTTCCTCCCTGGTACTTTCCTCCTCCATAATATTCAGCGCCTCTTGAATCATGCTGTTTAACACACTTACAGACTTGGCACTTTCAATAAATGGATGCTGAGAAAAAAAAAATTTACAGCAATTATGATCAATCGGATATAAACAGTTCATAAAGGTAGAATTTAGGGTTCATCAACTTCCGCTTCTACACTGAAGTTTCTAGGACGAGGAAGGCTGCCGAAGTTATCTTGAGATGTTTTTGTTTGTTTGTTTGTTTGTTTTTTTGGGGGGGGGAGGGATGACAGAGTCTGCGCCAGAGATTATCCCGATTTCCGTATTCTGAAGCGTCTAGGAGTATAGTTACTCCCACTGGATGGGATTCCGGTCCATCACAGATGACCTCCACATTTTGACAGTTTACTAGTACCCAGTTATACTCCTGCAGAGAGGGGCACTGTGAGAATAAAGTGTCTTGTCCAAGAACACAACACATTCAGTCCAGTCATGTCTAGGACAAGGTTCTCTTGGCTCTAAATTCAGCGCATTAGCAATTAAGCCCCCGTGTCTCCCAAGTTCAAATAATACGGCCTCAAAAAATAAACGTCTTCAAAACTCGTAATATCCGGATATATGACTTAAAGGGGTTCAAACAGTCCCAGGCCTCGCCCTTCAGCTGAGCACCAACACTTGCCTGTAACAGCTGTGTAGCAGTCGCTCTTTCTTCTGGATTCTTCACAAGACATTTGCTCACAAAGTCCAAGAATTCCTTACTCCGTCTTTCGTCATCTTTAAATGTCGGAGGGGGTTTGGTTGGAATCATAAATATTGCCTGTAAGAGAAAACATAGACAAAATCAGGTTACTCCACGTCAACGAAATCGATGACTTGAGTGATTATGTGTAAATGATGGAATGCTAGTCTATCATAAGTTACTCCCAATTAAATTGTTGACCTCCCCTCGCAGTTCGATGGTAAAAAAAATTACACTCCAGGGTAGACAAAGGCTCTCAGGGAGAGTAATGTCTCGCACTAAAGTCCCAACCAAGGTTTGTAATCGGACTTCTTATTTTGCAGTCTGGTGCACAAACAACTTGCCAACAGAGCTTCTTGCATCGTTTTGACCCGTTTATTCCTATTGCTTCGAACTTCTGTACAAACAGTAACTGGCTGAAGATGGCTTTAACACAAAGTGAGAATTTCAATTTTTCAGTCATATTCAACAGGAAAAGGAATCTAAGACGACCTGTCTGGAGAATTTTTACTATGAAGTGTGAAGTTTATACTAACCCTCATTGGATGAATGTCAGCATAAGGAGGTTTCCCTTCAGCCATTTCTATTGCGGTTATTCCTAAAGACCAAATATCTGCTAAGCAGTCATAACCAATTTCCTGAATATATAAAAAGAAATAGAAAAACACATTTCAACAAATGAAATACAGATCAGTCCATACGTGTGCTACCCACTGAACTTTTTCAGTCTAGATTAAAAACCGGTTGATAGAAAATCTTTGGTTCTAATGGTTGGAATGAAGACAGAGTTTAGGTCAATAAAAGTGCCACCATCAGATTACTGATAGTCATTGTGATGTGTGACGCAAGAAGTCACGCTGTCACGCTTGTCAGTCTCATATTCATGTATCACGTGTGTCGTGGGGGATCGTTCGGCTGCACGGCCGAGTTTACATATATTGTCAGTAAATAAATCTCTGTTGTGTTTTCTTCACATCTCACACATATTTTGGACACAGAAGGATGCCATACGCTACAGTCATCTAGTTTTCTAAAAACAGGCAATTTATTTTTGGCTGGTGCACAGGCCCTAAGATCATGTAAACTGTGAGGACAACACTAACTACTGTTACTGCTTACACTTCTCTCATGTCTTATTGACATAACAACATTTCAGTCTGAATTCTGCAGGGTTCACAATATTTTGACCACAATTAAATACATTTTTTTTCCAACAATATTGTTAAAACTTTGACCTCTGACCTGTATCACTTCAGGAGCCATCCAAAACGGAGTTCCTATTACAGTGTTCCTTTTCGCCATTGTATCCTTGTTGAAATAAATTCAGAATTTATAAAGTCAAACACAAACATCAAATTCCATCAGAAAAAATTAGGGAAAAATTTTAAAAAAAGCTCAATAACCAATGAACATTAAGAATAGATGGATAAATTACCAAGAAAAAATATTTCTAGACTTAACATTTATCAACTCCGTCAAAAATAAAAGTTCCACATTAAGTCCTCCTTCCAAGAAAATATATAAAGAGATGCAATTGCAAACAAGCTGAGCCTCTGAAAACGGAGGACGGTAGGTCACAATGTTGCTTTTATTTTGCTCAAGATTGTATCATGGATATATTAAATGACCCAGAAAAGCCCAGACTTCAGACAAGTGCTCCCTCCATGTAAAGATACAAATACTGGTAATTTTAGGAACACTTACAGTGAGTTGACCAGCAACTCCAAAGTCTGCAAGTTTGGCATGGCCCTCTGCATTAAGCAGGATATTTCCTGCCTTGATGTCTCTGAAATAAGAGAAAGAGTACATCTCTTGGAATCAACAAAAATGGCTTTAATACTTTACAAGCAACAAAAATGAATAACCCGTGTGGAGCCATCATCATCATATCTTCACCAAAAACCATGTCTAGGTTAAGGTCAACAGTGTTAGCAAACTTTTACACCAAGCACTCTTAATGAAAATGGTTGTAAGTCAATTGTTCGAAAAATAACTCCAGTGCAATGACATAAAATTCATTGATTCTTTCTTTAATAAACAATGTTTTAAAATAAAGCAAAGAACGCAAACCTGTGTATTTTTCTTCTCAAATGAAGATATTCAAGTCCCTTAAGAGTGTATTTCAATATACATGCAATCTCTTCTTCTGTCAACTGAAATGAAATCACATTTTCATTGATTCATAATAAATTTCATTTTGCAGTTTCACAGTGGTTTTTAACAATCACACACATGTAAAGCTTTATAGATGATTTATTCACTATTCCTGTTGATTTACAGTCAAACCCCTGTTCCATGTAACAAGCAACTATTGCACTTAGTTTGATTGCATGTGTTTTGACTTAAAGATATGGAAAATATTCTCTGTCACTTTTCCTTCTTCAATTCCCTTACCACAGTTTGGTGTAACTAGAAGATATTACCAAGCTGAACACAACATCCACAACAGTTTTACTTACAGTTTTATTTCTTATTTTCATTAAATCTGACACTGATCCTGCACCACAGAATTCCATAACAATCTGGTCAGAAAAAAGGAAATGGATATTATAATAATAGTTTTATTATACTTGAGTAGTTGACACATCATTCAAAAGAGTGATGAAAATGTGATTATGCACACAAGTACTCCTAACAACTCTATAATTATTATATTTTCAACTCTGAATATTGCATTTCTGCTGTTCTGATTGGCTCACTCAACTCCAGTTACCAACTCCTACTGTGAGTGACCTCATATGGAAGAAAACACAGGTACAAAGAGAGAGAGAGGGAATGGAAAGAATGGAATAGCACTCATCAAGGCCCCTGTAGTAGCTGCGCCACTTCTTCAAGATTGCATTAATTCATTTCATTCATTGTAAAAAGATAAAATGAAAATCATTAATATCTACCCAGAGATCTGTGTTCTTGAAGTAGCTTCCATAATACTTCACAACATACGGACTGAAAAAAAAGGGAAATTCAGAAAATCATTTGAAGGCGTGTTAGCAGAAATATTATTATTACAACTTTTCATTTAACATTGAAGTGGTAAAGTTTTTAAGTTAACCCTCTAATTCCTACATCATGTTAGTTCAGAGAATTTAGTATTGGATCAACTAATTATCCCCAAATCAATATTTTTCTTTATTCTCATCACTTATCTGGTTGATATTGTATTAATATTGTAAGGAGGAATTCTTTCTTGGTCACTCATGGGAGTTAAAGGCTTAAAATAAAACAACCACAAGTCTAATTTAAATAATTCATATTTTTCAAGAATATAAAATGCATTACCTATCACACTGCTGCATCATGCTTATTTCTTTTATAATCTCCTGCAGGTCTGTGTCAACTGGTACTTGTTTGATGGCGACAACTTGACCTGTTTCCTTGTGCATTGCCTTGTAAACAGAGCCATAGGAACTGGCAAGGAAAAGAAGATTGATTATTAGCATACAGGCCAAACAGTCTGAAATCTATAGATTTCTGATAGCAGTTCACCTTGGCACTAAACCATCCAGCCCTGCCTCTCTTCCCCCCTCCCCCCCACCCACCCACAAAAAAAAGCATTTTTTAACCAGTTTGTTCCAGTCTCAACAAACCCTCTCAGATGTGATTAACTTATAACTTCTCCCTATAAAATCCATCTATTATCCAGTAAACACACAATGAGAATACTTAAACCTATCAGGTAGAAGTTGTTATCTTGATCTAACACCAAATTATTGCAACTTACTTACAGGAAATATGTGACAGCTTTGAGGGGAGAATAAACAATCAGATCTTGGGAGTTATACGGTACCACAAAATAACATAGAATCTCAAAAAATTTCAAAACCATACTAGATTGGAACTACAAACCATTTGTTTAGGAATTAAAATTTACCTATTTTCCTCTTATGTAGTTAAATATTTAATTTTATTTCTAACTAGGAATTCAGTAAACAGAGATGTATTCTATTTCCAGTTGGATTATAAGTTTCCAACCAAATAAAATGGTGCAATTAAACCTCATTTACAGCAGTGAGTTTTTATGCTTAGTTCATATATAAAGGAAAGCATGCTGTATACTGTATATTTTAATGGGAAAAGCTTGTCAACGATACTTCCCAAGGAAAGACCTTCCTATTTACCCTTCACAGAAACGCATGCCATGGAAGAACTCTCAAGAAACATGCTGCTTTAAATGCAACTTATTTGCACAGCACACATAACATCAAGAGTCGAAAACGATGCAACAGAATATTCATCATTTTCAGTTATAGTGCTTGTACAACCTCGTAGGTAATGAACTGCCTCTTTCAGAACATTCTACGCTGGCAATAATCTCGAAAGTAAAAACAGGAACAGGCAGCACGGTCGCTAAAGTAATAACATCAAAGAAATTGTACTGAATAAATTATTCTCAATATAAGCTTGCTTAACAAATTTGTTGGCTTCGATTAAGTTTATATTTGTGACTTTAATTTATCGCGCAATTCATTTGTACCAAATGCATAGATTTAATTCAACGATTAAGAGGAGTTATTCAATAATTAGGACATAAAAAATTAGTTTCTTCGAAAAAGGGTTCGATAAAAAGCCGGCTATCAGATATATTGAACTTTGATATATGTGCTGAACTTTAATAGTCCCGAAGGCCACTTTTTGACTAATTAACTTAACTAACTTGTGTATGATGCAGAGCAGGAAAATAAACTTACCCTTCGCCAAGCTTTTCGAGAACATCAAAGACTTCTTCAGGTGGTCTAGTCAAGCTTTCTTCGCTTAATTTCCGTAGCTCATTCCTTGTTAGGAAAGAAATAAACTTTACGTTTCCGCGAGAAGTTTCATATTTTGATAGAAGCTGAAATATTCCGACATCGATGCATTTTAGAGTGTGTAAAAAATTTCATCGGGAAACATACCCTTTCGCAGACATCTTAAAAGAAGCAGGTCTAGTAGATTAGCTCATGGCCGTAAGCAAAGGGATTAAGCCATCATAGATCGCCGTAAAAATTCAACTTATTTCCTCTATTTCGGTTCTTCTAGAGTTCTGCAAGGCGACCGAAGGAAGGCATGACTATGATGAGCCCGCGATCATTCAAGAGGAAAGGAAAAGAATACAGCCTCCTTCCCCTCCTACAGAGATAATTCTGGAAAAAATTAAAAACATATGTCTATAATCTTTTTTTTTTTTTTTTTGATAAAAACGCGTAACGCGAAAACGTCTTCAATTCTAATAATTTCAATTTTCTCCTTCGCCAGCACAGTCAAAAGTCCTTTGATCTAGTTCAATTGGTGGATAATCCATTACCTTACCCACCCGTCCCATACGACAATTTTTATTTAAAAGCAGCGTGGTCACACAGCATAGCGTCAACGTAAGAGACAATATGGCGGACCATGAAGATGTGTTGTATTCAAATTCAAGTAGGAGGGACGATTCTCCAGGTGATCATGACCTCAGGAATGAAAGAGAAGGCAGCAGAGAAAGCGATCATGACGACAGAGATCGGCGAAGAAGAGGCGGTGAATATGAAAGAGATTTGAGGCGAGAAAATCGTCGGTACGCCCCGTATCCTTCTCGCGATGAGCGTTCGAGTTCGAGGCGACAGTCTGGAAGTGGAGGAAAAGAGTGCCGTGTTTACGTGTGGAACCTTTCATATGCTGTTAAATGGCAAGATTTGAAGGATTTCATGAAGAAGGGTAATACTATTATTGTTGTTAGTGTATTTAAAATGGTTATGTCTTGCCTGTCACCATATTCTAAACAACGACGAGCTTAGCGACAGGTACATGGAGCCACAAGATCTTTTTTGACAAATAACAATTAATAATTTCCTTTAGACGAAATCGGCGATGGCGAACCATTGTTTTTGTACTGGAGGCTACGTTCTAACCTCAAAACGACTCAAGGGTTAAAGTGATTTTAAATTAGGTGGATTTGTTTTGTTCTTTGTTTCGAACAAGCTTAGTTCGCATTAGTCCTTAAGCAAATCAAATTAAGGATTCAATGCATGTAAATGTTGATTTGGTAGTTGATGATGTGAATTTGTATTGATACAAGTATACAATTTTTTTCTAGTCGGAGATGTGGCATTTGTTGACATTATTGAAGACAGTCATGGAAAATCAAAGGTACAAAAACAAGGAGAGAGTTTTAATCTATTTTTAATATGTATTCCTGTGGTGGAGACTTAATTGAAAATGACAGTATTCCATATTTCGGATGCACTCCTCCTCCCCTCTCCTGAGGATGGCAGGGTTTCTAGTGAAGAGGATCTAGAGTTTTTCTCCAACGAAGCTGACAGCATTTTTTTTTTTTTTAGGACAATTTTTTCAAAGGAAGTGACTAAAAGGCAGTCTCTTAACCCATATTTTTCACAGGGCACTGATATGAATTAGAAGATTTTGATGTCTGGAATTTTATTGATTTTTAGTGGGGGGAGGAGGGATTTGGGTGGATGGGTAAGAAATTGAACATTCAAAAGTATGATGGAACTTTTACATGTTAATCTGTTGCTGGAACTGGAAGGGTTGAATTAGTGCACTTTAACTCCTTCTTTTTCCTTTTTTTACCTTTTTGCAGGGATGTGGGTAGGTGACTACAGTTTACAAAGATAGTCATTAAATTTACAGGAAAGTAGAACATTTTAAAAGGAATGAAATGATGGCATTGTATCATTGATGATATTGTAACAATTTAATAATCAACAAATTTCTATAAATCTTACCAGTATTTTTCCTTTTCCCCAAGTATTGTTGAGTTCAGAAACAGAGATGATGCAGATAAAGCCATCAAGGAGCTTCATGGAACAGAGTTCAGAGGAAGACCAATACACATTCGTGAGGTATTTTGGATGAAGAATGTTTACTAGTAAACCCTCCACTGATAAACTAGCTCATAGAATAGGTGTAATTCTGGCAAGCAAGTACTCAATACTTTGTTAGCAAAACTTATAACCACCATGTTTGGTTTCAATGGCAGCGGAAGGCTGGGAAGGGAAAGAAATTTGTACCAAGGGGGTGAGGTACAGTCAAAAATAAGGAGAAGGGTGGAGGTACCCTCTACCCCCACCAATTTCCTCAGACTCCCAATCAAACATGGCCAGTCAGATAAATGATCACAAGCTTATAATGTGAACTTGCCCTAATAAGATGCCTGCACTGCAGGCTAATGGTGAACTAGATGCAAGTTTTATGTCTTAGGTGTAAAATGTATTTTCTGAATATTTCTGTGGTGCCTGTATACTAAAGTCTAGCATACAAACAAATGGACTACCACATCTCTGCATTTAAACCAAAAACTTGACTCTTGATTATATTCTCTTCTACCAATCAGGATCGCATTGAAGAGGGTGATAGGCGTAGCAGGCCTCCCCCTAGGGGTCCTGACCCAAGGGATCTTCCCTCTCTCACTGGAGGGGGTATGTCTCTTGGTAATCATCTGGGAGGTGGTCTTGGAAGTGGAAACCTGGGCCTTGGAAACAGCAGTGGTCCTCTTGCCAACCTGTTAGGCTTGGGAAATCTCAATTCTGCTCAAGGACTGAATTACAGGACAGATCCATTGTCATGCACTGTGTTTGTCAGCAATGTAAGTAGGCTTTGATATATCTCTTACTAATTGAGTTAGAGGTCTGCACTGTAAGTCATGGCCTGAGTTTTTTCCACTCAAATTTATCGCGAAAGCACGAAGCATGCAAGGCGTAAATGTGAGCGGGCAACTTGGAGCGAGTAATTTACAGTGCTGATGGTGAAAACAATGTTAGTGACATATTTATTTTATCTCTGTTTGCAAAGAACTAACAAACTTTTGAATTTGGCATTACAATAAAATATGGCTTGCTAAATTGACCATTCATAGTGCATTTACTATTTGGCAGATGCAATAAACATTCATTATCCACTTAAGGTAGTCCATTATCAAGTAAATTTAAGGGCTCAGGGATTTATGTTTACCTTTTTCCTCCTAGCTTGATTACAAAGTAACTTGGCAGAAATTGAAAGACACCTTCAGAGGAGCTGGTATGATGTTATCTGCACAACATACAGTCTACATGGACTTCTTCTGATTTCCTTTTCAAACTTTTGGTTCCATTGTTTCTTGTTCAGTTGGTTCTATGGAATCTTCTTTCAGTTAATGTTATGATCATGATTGTTTTGCAGGTAATGTTATTCGTGCAGATATCAATTTGGACTCTGATAATAAATCTAAAGGTTTTGGCACTGTACAGTTTGAAACAGCTGCAGAAGCAATAAATGCAGTTTGTATCCTTTTTTGTAGATTATACTCAGAAATAGCAGAGTTCTCTTTATTTCAAATGGATGAAAATTAATGGTTTGCAGGAACTTAACAGGAAATACAATTAAAAATTTTAATGGAACTTTTTTTGTGCAACTACATGTGCATGCATAACAGTGATAATAACAACAGTGAAACTGATGACATAGTGACTTAGGGCCTTGAATTTTCACCACTTTTTCTTTTGTTTTTCTTTCTTTTTTGGGGGGG